GAGGCGATGGGCGGGGCGAGAGGCCTCGCGAGAGTCTGGATGGGCTATCACACGAAAACTCACAACAAACAAAATTCACTGCAAACAAACAGGTTACGACATGATTACGCACGTGGACGCGGCCAAATGTCATCGTCACTTGGATTTCATTTACCGCGCCGAACACACCCGAGCACAGCGCGGAAACTCCCGAATGCAGAAGTCGGTTCCGGTCGTAGTTTTGGCAGGTTTGCTGCCGAAACCGAAACATAACTGAAACTCGTTTTTTTGCCGAAACTTGACCGAAACCGAACATTCGGTCGGACACTAAAAATATGAATAATTTAATTACCACGTGCCATTTTGCATTATTTGTCATAGACTAAATAACATCAGAGTGTAGTGTAGGTACATGAGACCGACATTACACCATTAATATGGTTATCTGTTTTTAATGCTGATATAAATATTTAGCTATGAAAAGATAAAACTAATTTGATAATGTTGATAAACCTAACCCTTTTTTTTTCTGTGCGGAAATCCCCTCGGATAGCACTTACCAGTGGCAATGTCGGACTCGAACCGACTAAAACCGCACGCCGTCTCAGGTACCAGTAGTCGGGGAACCGCCGTCTCCTTCGCAAGCATAACTTGCTTGCAGAAGGAGACGGCAGAGTTCCACGCACTCTCGCTGCGCACGATAGCCGTCTCGCCTCTGCTCCACCCACGCCGGGCATTCTGCCAGTGTGAGGAGCGGATATCCATGGTCCGACCATCCCAGTGGTGGCACTCAGGCGTTGGCTCCTTGCGGATCAGACACAGGTGATCCCCGAAACATCCTTTCCCAGTGATCACCTGCGTCAGTCGGTATGAGAGGGTCCCGTGGTGCCTCTCGAGCCAATCCTCCATAACGAGTCTTATCGCCGCGATGACGGCGTGCCCGGTGCTCGGTTGCCCAAGTCGTGCCTTCCAATCCCCTACGAAGGACCCGTCGTAGTTGGGATTCCCGGTCATCGATTTCTCAAGTCTCAGGACGCCGACCCAACTCCCGCGCCTCCTTGCGCTACTGACACAGAACCGCAAGGGCTCTCGCCTCCAAGTCCCACGGTGGAGTTTCGGCCGGGAGATAAAGCTAACCCTACAGTGAAATTAGTTCTTATCTGAACTTCTGAAAAGTATTTTTCCTAATGTTCCAGTCAGCTGTCCATTTTTGTTAAATTTTAATTCATTTTCGATAAAATGAAATTATTATTAAATTATTTAGTTAAAAAATATTATTTAGTAAATATATTATACATTTATGTTTACCAATATACTTTTTAATTTAGATTTCCACGTCCAAGTAATGACAAAACAGCAAAATGGATTAAGTTTGCCCAAAACAACCGCTGTGAAGAGACCATGCTACCATCCGATCATAGTTATATATGTTCGTTGCATTTTCGTGAGGATGATAAATATATAACGAAAGGGGGAAGGCGTTTTCTAAAGAAGTCTGCTGTGCCATATGATGATGTAAGTAATGATATAAATTAAAATTATTTTGAATTCTTCGTATGTTGACAATTGACTACATTACACTAAGCCATCACTAACATATGTTTTGTTTGTTTTAGCAAGAAGTTTCTGCCCATGGAGCCATCGAGTCGATTTCAGAACCTGTTAGTGAGTCAGAGTCAATTTTTGATACCCCAAGAAAAATAATTCTGAAACGGCAACGGTAAAAAAAGAATAACAGACAAATTTAAGAAATTTCAGCGTCAGAATATGAATAAAAAATATTAGTATTTATGTTAGTATCGCTGACTGAAAATTGGAAACTTCCTGTCGGCTATTTTTTGATATTTGTGCCCCGAGCACGAACAATTTGCGAAAAGTATATCTTAAGAAAAAATATGAGTCCTTGATTCTTCTGGTGAAATCATTAAAAACAAAATTTCCACTTGGTGCACTAGCTGAAAATAGTTTTCTGGCTAAGGCAGAATTAGTCGAAATCTACAAAAGAATAATGCTCTTTAAAGTTTTCTCCAGTATTACATAAATTTGCATTAACGCTTCATTACTACTTGCCAGCTGCATACAAATAGGTGAGAGATATATATGGAAATATGTTACCACACACAAGAACTCTCTGTCGCTGGTATGGAACGATTGATGGTGAGCCAGGATTTACAAATGAATCGTTTGAAGCTCTGAAGAAAAAAAGTACTAAAAGTCAGCAACCTCTGATATGCAATCTAGTACTCGATGAGATGGCTATTCGAAGGCAAATGCTATTTCACAAACAACGGAAGCTGGGTGTTTAGTGCTGGTCCTCAAGTAGGTGATGAAGATGATCAAGTCGCATCACAGGCATTAGTATTTATGTTAGTATCGCTGACTGAAAATTGGACACTTCCTGTCGGCTATTTTTTGATATTTGTGCCCCGAGCACGAACAACTTGCGAAAAAGTATTCGTATCGTCTTCGATAAAAATTTATATGACATTTGTGCCGCGCCCCTATTATGCGTAAAAGTAACTAATTTTGGCAGCACGAACGTTTCGAATGTACTTTCGTATCGTAAACGTATCGTCAAGCATTCGACACGTTACACTTTATAAAGAAAATTGGCAGCACGAATGAAATTTTGACGTACGTTCGAAGGCTGGCTATCGAGCACCTGTCGAGCTTAGTCGAATGTTTATTCACCAAGGATTTGGCTGTGAGAAAAGTTTCGAAACAATCAATTTATTTTAAAACTACTATTTTGAAGTATTACTTTTTATTTTTTGGTAGAGATAAAATGCAAAGACCGCCGCTTTAGTCCTATGTATGTTCTTGTCGCAAGTTTAATTGAAATTAGAGTATTCAACGACTAGATTCGAGGTGAGCAAATCTTGTTTTATCTATAAACTTCTACTGTATTAATAAAATGTAGTATAATTAGTATGTACTTACATATATATTAATCTAATTAATACTTTTTTTAGTGAAATAAGGCGCAGAGATAAACGAAGAAATATAAAAGTGAAGCAAAATTACACGGTTATTTGCAAGATGCCTAAAAACTAGTTTAAATATTTTTTGTCTGTCTGTTTGTTTCGAGTAATCTTCAAAACGGCTGGACCGATTTTGATAATATTTTACTACCAGGTAGCTGTCTATAAGGAGTAACCTGGCCTAAAAAAAATTGCCCGCTACGGGAATCGAACCCACTAAGGCAGCGCTTTTCAAATTCTACGCAAACGAAGTTTCGGGCACCAACTATTCCTTTAAATATAAATGACAACGAATTTCAAAATAAATCGCTTGAAGCTAAGAAGTAGTTTGACTTAAGCAACGAAATAACCAAAAATGGTTATTTTGTTGCGTTGTATGCCGTGGAAGTGGGTGCGAAGGGTATACCAGTTAAATCAATCTATAACCTGTTTAAGACCTTGGATTGCTTCAGTAAACTCTTTCCTTAAAGGAATATCCAAAGCGGCATTGCTAGGCTCGTACCAAATATGGTTAGATAGAGGGGGTTACACAGCAGACAGGGATGAAAGGCTTATAGTAAAAAATGAGATAGTATGAATATTTTAATTTACCATAATTTTAAAATGAATTATACAGAGTTGGTTTTTATACATTTTATACATACATGTAATATACAAAGAACATTATTTACTTTGAAAAAATTTTATATCTAGTTAATAATTTTAATTTTATTTCACACGATTACGATTCTTTTAACGTTTTTAAAATATCATTGCTTTTTTTTGAGTTTTTTTCTTCAGGAGGCCTCCACTCCTCTGCCACTGCGGTGACTGGAAAAGACTGAGAATGAACCCCAGGTGCTGGTAAAGGAGGAGCCACAGTCGGTTGGCTGCTTGAGCCCGCAGTATTCCAATCTACAACAAAATATTACAACATTTATTACTTATATAATAACGATAATAATATTTTCAGACATCTGACACACAACACCATCTAGTTTCAAACTAAGCAGAACTGGAACTATGATACCTAGATTGACTGATATGAGACATTAGTTGTCCCTGGTATGTTTATCTGTAGGATTGCTGTGGTGGTGTTCAAGTAACATTTATAAAGTGACAGATGTTATTTACAATTGAATTTATTTTAATGTCAAGTAGCAGTGGAAGTCTCATAACAACGAGAAATTCGATTATATATATGAAATTTATTATATTCTTAAACATTACCATAACTCACATCGATATTTTAATACACCGAGTATTGCAAATAGTAAATTTAATATACACTTACCTTTCCAGAAATACCACCATAGCTACGTATTGTAAATGGCTTATACTCACTATGACTTTTTTGATGCTGTATTAATAAAATGTAGTAGATGTTTGGGATTATTGGCGCAGAAGATGATGAAACATGTCTTCGTCTGTGCTGTTCAACAGTTCGATTTATTGTGGCACGACTTACTGTGATTTATTTTAAAGAAATTTTTATCAGTTTCTTTTCACTAGTCTAGTGGTATACGATTTGGCTATTATTGCAAGCTTGGATTTTTGGTCACAATGGACAGCCAACACGACGTAATAATACAATTAATATTTTCTATAAAATGCTTCTTAAAGTTTCAGAGGTTTACAAATAATCTTAAACTTGGTGATGAATTTACAATAAAAATAATAAACAATTTATTGACATAGCTACAACGCTATGTCAATAAATTTTCAAGTGGAGACGTGTTATTCAGAAACCGAAAAAAATGTCATAATAATTGTTTTAATTCTCCAAATATACAACATTTAAAATCTCCCATACCTCATTTAAGATTTATATTATGTGTTTATACAAGTAAATTTTGTTTTAATTGTCAATGAATATGTATTTTACCCGAAAGTAATAAAAAGTTAACTATTTCATTAAATTTTCGAACGATACCTTAACGTTAGTGCTTCGTGCTACCGCCTATCGTAAAACTCTGTTAACGTATCGAGTTCTCGATACGTTAACGGAGTTTTACGATAGGCGGTTTACGGCAGTTACGATACGCATTACTAAAAACTCCGTTAACGTATCGAGAACTCGATACGTTTACGATACGCATTCGAAAATGTTTCGTGCGCGAGGCACTGTTCTTCAGGAGTTTTGTTTGCAGGCGCTTGTCTGCCACGATGCTCCATTTTTGTAAATACACCATGATCATCCACGTGTTTTACTGCAGTTTCGATTGGGCCACTAGAAATGTAAAGAGTGGACATAAAACAGTTCTTGCATACTCGTTCAAATACAGTCTTATTTTTAAAGAAACCGTATTCTCTGCTAGTACTTCTTTGGTTGTCGATCGGTACAGATTTTCTTGTAGTCTGCACTGGCTTAATGATGATGCGCTTAAGCAAGCAAGCAAGCAAACACTTTTTGCAGCTTAAAATCTTGTATAGACTAATAGGATTTGCAAATTTTCTCACGCTCGTTTGTGTAAACTTTTCTGTGCATTTTTGACAGATTTCTTTTTCCGTACTTTCTGTTTCTATTTCTGAATCTCTTGTTTCAGCGATTGTGAAATTATGTTCCATAATTCTTCTATCAGGGTTAACTGGTGAGACTTGGTCAATAGGAGTTTCAATAATAGCGCAAGTTGTTATAATATTACCTGTTTCATCTTCAGAATGAGTCGACAAAATTGTGTTTATTCGTTCAAATCTTTTAATTCTTTTTTTCTTCTTAGCCGCTGAAATGTTGATGTTTATTAAAGAACTACGTTTTCTTTTTATATTATTTTCATCTTCATCTGTCGAAGGTGGCATTGGTTTGAAATGGGACTTGACCCTCTTATAGGCGAATTGAGATCTTTATAGCTGTATAATATTATGTTGTCATCTTCATTTAAATTAAATTAAAGACATTTACAGGCATAGGTGCTGATTGGGGTGGGTTGATGTTATTAGTAATCTTTTCGCTAACCATTATTAATGCTGGAGCCGATTCGCATGTAATTATCTTAAATCCGTCATGCTCAGTAAGCTTAGGAACATCAGAAACTAACAACCCATCTGGCATTTTTTCTATCGTGATATCAACAACAACATTTATGTCGTTGCAAACATTTTTATTCATTTCGGATGGTGATTTGTGGCATTATGTTTTTGTGGGCTGACAGTAACGGTACTTTGGTCCTGCGGTTTGATTGTCTTATGTTTGTCCTAAAACAATAAGAAGCTCTAATATTGCAGGTATTTCATTAGGAAATATGTAAAAGAATAACCATGTGACAAGAGTTTATGCAGTCAAGTTTGTCAAGTCAAGTCAAACCACACGTTTGGTCATCAAGCTTTATAAGCCTCGGAATTCGCCAACTTACGGTTAGATACATTAGGTATCTAGCTTGGTTAGGTCAGTTATGTTACTTAGGTAATAATGTCAGCCATACAATAAGAGTTAGGTACGTGAAACGGGACTACCCCTAAAAACTATCTGAGCACCTAGTAAACAAAACTGTCCAGTAAACAAAACAAACAAAAAAAATTTGTTAACTAAAATTCATTTTTTTTATAGATACCCATTAATGTTTTTCTTTTATTTTTTATTTAATCGCTAATTGTAGTTTCACTATTAAAAAAATGTTTAATAGTGAAACTACGTAGGTGAAAATACCTAACAGAAAACAATTAGTGTGACAAGCTAAAAGTAACCACTCTTCAAATTCAGAGTCAAAATTCAAATGCAAGCAGAAGAGTTATCAACTTCTCCCACAACTCAAAATGATTGATATTCAAACTCTCATAAGTTAGGAAAAAATAAATAAAATTGATATCAGTACATAGTTATGACATAAGTACTGTTGTTCAAACATGTTTTTATGGTTAAGAAAAACGTACCTATGTGTATAGATTGTGAGTTAATTTCTAATACCTCGTAATTACGTACCTAATCGTATCGTATCGTATTTTTAATTTCTTAATTTAATTTGCAAAAAAAATGTTCTAAATTATCGTAAGTACATACCTCAGATGAATCTTCTTCCTTTTGACACATTTTTACCATAAATCTACCTTGCGAATCCATTATTGGTCACTCTGACGTCAACGCAATTGAAGGTCACGTATTACCCTAGAGTTTCCGTCGTTCCCGATCATTCATTGCATAGATAGGTAGGGGAGACCGAGGGGAGTTGAAACAATTTTGACATTTTGTTTCATACACCAAATACTGTAGACAGAAATCGTATGATATTAGTACCAATCGATAGGTCATTCTTTACACTTGCGAATGGCTAACACAAAGAAATTGTAAGCCTTAAATATTGTGGTGAAAAATCGACTTAACCGTAACAAGTCAACTTGTTTCAACTCCCCTCATACCGAGATAAGATGAAACAGGGGCCGAGGAGAGTTGAAACATATGATTTTTGAGAAGTATTAGGCTGTAAAATAAAAATTATGATATAATTTAAAGGTATTTATTAAAATAAAACTTTTCAAGTACGAAACAAACTTTTTTATTAATATTTTGTACTGATATATCACTTAAGTAGGTAAGTGCTTACTTAAGTGCTATTTTAATATGGCTCTAAACAACAAAGGCAAAAGGATTCTTCTTTATCTTCACTGATCCTTGATCTTTTTAGTTTTAGTACCTAGTTTGGATCTTTTTCTTGTTTTTACTTCTTCAAAGTTAAGTTTTTTTACCTTTTTCTTAGCCGTTCTAGTTGCCTCGATTGCAGCTAGTTCATCCGTTACGGGAGTGTTGGTTAAGATAGCGGATTTAACTTTGCGTCTATTTGTTCGATTTCCTTTCCTTGGTGGCGCCTTTGGCAAGGGTCTAAGAGTTTCAGGTGAGAATGGAATTGCTGTCACAGTAACTGAAGTATCTCGTGATGTAGATGCTACAGCTATAGATCCAGTGGTTGAAGGCATTGTGATAGTATTAAGCATTACTTCAGACATCGCTAGATCAGGTGAATTCTTATCAGCATCTTCTGCAGACTTGGGTACGTCTTCTGTTTCGTAGCTGATTTGATCAGGAGTAGCCGGTAAATTTAAGATTGATGGACTTGGTGTACGAGAATCATGTAAAAAATCAGTCTGTTTCAAATTTCCTCAGTAAAAAAAAACCTCCCAATTTTTATTTAATCCACAACCAAGAAGCAAATACACAGAAATCAATAGTACCAAATATATATAATATGTCTTTAGTTAATGAGCCTTCGAAACATATATAACTTAAACCAAAATACAAAACCCTTATCAAAATATAGGCATCGTAAAAAGACGTTAAAAACTTACTTTTGACGATTTTTGTCACATGGCACCCAGATCTTCACAACCGCGCGACTTACGCCACCGACGCGAACTGACACGTCAGCGGACGGATGGAAGTGGTTAAAAAGCGACGTTGCCAACTCGCTAACGGTTTTAAGTTTCTAGAAATCCCTACTGTTTCAAATCACCTTTGTTTCAAATCCCCTTGGTCTCCCCTACTTACAATACTTCGCGTGAAATTCTCTTAAAAATTAATGATAACCTTCCCTTTGGTACATTTTGTTTTATGGCAATTATAAACAACTTAATTTATTTAATTTTATTTGCCTAGCATCTTATAATTTATCATTATCTAGTTGTAGAAGAAATAGATAACAACAAGTATTTATAAATTAGGTACGTTGTATCAGAATTCTGAATAGCAGAATTAAATAAGAGTTATTTAGTTTTCCTAGAACTTAGTTAGTTTTGTAAAAGAATTTTTAAGTTGAGGCAAAATTCAAAAACTCATGGAATTTAATTTATTTGACATTTAAAGACCACAGTTATTGATTTATTCACTTAGTTTTTTTTTGTCTTCAAATTATGTTAGTCTGAAGATATTTATTATTCCATCTGTCCGACAAAAATGGCTATATTTTTGGAACGGAAGAAGATACGAAAATGCCTGTCAGGCTCAAATATGCGGCATGTTTTAGGTGTTTTCAAAATAGGGAAAAGTCAATATCGCCAAAACCGGACTTATTTAATTTTCCAACTACGGGGACGATATTTTCTAAAAGGGGTAAAAAATGGAATAAAATATATACATTCTGTGTACTAAGTATCGGGAATTTGTCAATAAAACAAAAAATACAAATTATTCATCTAAATTTATTTTATCGCCTTCAAAGTAGGCCCCATCGCTTGCAATACAACATCTCCACCGCTTCACCCAGTCTTCCATACATTTTTCATAGGCTATTTGCGGTATGGCCTTTAGCTCATTCAGCGAATTTTCTTTTATGGCTTCTATCGACTCAAAACGTTTTCCTCGAAGTGGTAATTTTAACTTGGGAAATAAAAAAAAGTCAGACGGAGCCATATCAGGTGAATACGGTGCTTGGTCGAGAACTTTTGTTGAATTTTTCGCTAAAAACTCTTTCACTATAATGGCTGTGTGTGATGGTGCATTATCATGGTGCAGCATCCATGAGTTGTGTTGCCACAAATCTGGACGTTTTCGGCGGATACTCTCACGCAAACGCTTCATGACGCCTAAATAATATTCTTTATTCACGGTTTCTCCCTCTGGAAGGAATTCGGAGTGAACCACACCACGGTGGTCAAAAAAACTGTCAGCATCACCTTGATTTCGGAGCGACTTTGCCGCGGTTTTTTTGGTTTCGGCTCGTTTTCGAGACGCCATTCTGAAGACTGTTGGCTTGTTTGCATGTCGTACTCATAAACCCATGTCTCGTCGCCAGTTATTATACGTTTCATAAAGGTCGGATCCGTAGAAGCTCGGGAAACCATGTCTTCAGCGACATGCTTTCGCTGCGCTTTTTGAACAAAATTAAGCTCTTTTGGAACTAGTCGAGCGGCGACGCGTTTCATGCCTAAATTGTCAATGAGAATGTTGTGGACGGACTTAAAAGATATGTTCACCTCACTAGCCAACTCTCTCAGACTCATACGTCGATTTTCGAGCACTAGCTTCTTGATTCTGTCGATGTTTTCTTTGGTCGTAGCGGTTGAAGGTCTACCAGAACGAGGCAAGTCTACTACTACTTCTCGGCCTTCTTTAAAAGCCTTATACCATTCATAAGCCCTTGTTTTCGATATACACGATTCGCCGTAGGTATTTCGCAACATTTTTAGTGATTCACCACAAGAAATATCATTCGAAACACAAAATTTATGGCACACTCTTTGTTCAACAATATTTTCCATTGTAAAAATCGCCGAGGACTCAAAACTATCACCAACAAAAAGTGTAGTTTACAACAAATAATGACAGATCCCGCTCAAATTTTGCGCGCTTAATCAGTACAGTGCTACCAACATGCAGTAAAAAAATTAGAACGACCTCTTTTACGCGGGTCTTTTTATTGACATATTCCCGATACTTTTTACACAGAGTTGTATATAAAAATATATTAAAACAAAAATCATATGCACACAAATATGTATGGCTTAATATGTTGGTCTGAGTTTTGCGATGGATGTGTTAAGAAGGCAAAATGTAAGGTTTACGCTATTAGAAGGAAGAAAAATACTTATCTTCATTCACTTATGGAGGTGTGGGGGTATTGCCGCCATATTAATTCCCAGGTTCGAACCGGGATCCTTATCCAGTCAGGTAGGTAGGACGATGAAGAAAAATTATCACTACACTGAGGTGGAAGTCGAAAAATGAACGATATTATTAGTTTACGTTCCAACAACTATATTTTAAAAATAAACTTTATAAAATTAACAGAAATTTAGGTTAACAACTCGATACAAAAATAAAGAGCGGTAGTAAGCGTGAGCGCCGAACGCGGAGTGCGTAGGTAGGTCCGTAC